CTTGGAGAGAATGTGGAATGAAAGTGTCGACATGGATGCGATCAGGAAGAAATTTCAATAAACTAAGCAAGAGTTATTGGAAAGGTCGCAGGCATTTTACTCTAAGAAAATGGCAACTGAAAATGGGTGATCCCTGGTTTCGAAACGAGTTCTTTTTGACAAGACGAATGTCAACACGAAATCATAGCTCCAATCTTTGTAGTTTGCGATAGTGTCTCGCTGGTATTCTTTGTCATGATATCAAAAACTGCTGTAGAAAGTGTCGCGATCGCGTATAGTACAGTCAAAACAAACTTCGCATAAGTCTTGGGCGATCCTAGTAGCCAGCGACCCCTGACCCTTTTCACGATTGGCCACGATAAAGCAGGACTATCATTTGCATATGAAAGTACCCGGATCTGGTAAGAAATCTTACCAGTGAATTGCAGCACCGGACAGTCGATCGTGCCTAACGGCACTCCATACTTCCTGTCCCGGCGTTCGCAATTTATTCACCCCTATTACGTTTATTAATATTAATATTAGGTACGACTGACTGTTGACAGTCTACCTACAATGTCCTATCTACTACATTACTAAACTACATTTCTTATCATACTTTAATTGTCCCAAATATAAGTAAGGACTTTTTTCCAAAAAAACATACCGCATTTTTCTCCGGATTGATTGGTGTATCCTGCCGGAAGTATCTTATAATGCCTTCATCTGCCAGCAGAGATGATATGTTTAACTGCCGTTATTTCTTATACCTCAAGTCAAACACGTGCCACCCCCCAAAAAACATGTAAATAACAACAGACTCGGCGCCATATGTAAAAAAAAGTACGTAATGCATCCATTCTTGGGCTGTCATAATGTATAACAAATTTTCTTTCAAATTTTTAGGGAAATATATCTTGGTGTATCATTAAAATGAAAAATTAAGTAAAATTAAACCAATAACACATACACAATATTTGTATGATATTGTACACATTTACTCGAAACAGCCAACACAGGAAAAGTCACACCGCTTTGGGAAGCAACACTCACCTCTAAGAGTGAATATTTATATGTTTGTGTGTACACCTAAAGCTCGTTTCCCATAAACAATTCAAGTTTTTACACACAGGATAACCCAATTCAACAAAGTCGATATAGTAAATATTTAATTACATGTAAAACTATGCTATATATGTCATATATGTCTTCTTGGGAACAATTAAAAAGCGTTTCAGCCTTCAATAATTCACAAGTATTCTACAAGCGAACCAACAAATAAAAAAAAAATGCATTACCACAATAATAATGTGTATGTACGCAAATGTCATCATCAAATACAAAATACGTATCCATCTGTGTGCTGATGAAAAAGAAGACAATAGAAACGTGCAAGTCTAATTTAAGAACGAGCAGGTCTAGTTTTTAGTACAACTAACCAGCTTTACAAACAACCGATTCCCTTTTCTCTAGGTTTAAAATGAATTATTGCAAACGTTAGCGAGAAAGTAGTTTAATGTTTTGAACAACGTACATATTTAATGGTTCATAAAACTTACATCGTATTATTTGTTGCATTAAACAATATCATTCATATGTGACTGGAAACATTTACTGGAGTAGTACGTGACGCGATCATTTTGTTCTTGTTCGTCTTGTTGCTGACAATGTTGATATTGTATGTTATGTATACTATCCCGATGTGCAATTTCATCTCTGCGTTTATTAACGATGAAACCAGTACTCAACCATTAAAAGCTTTGTTTACCCAAAAATATATCTATGTGCGTCACTGTGTACCAATTATGGAGAAAAATGTCTGGCCATTCGGTACAGTTGGAAAACAATATCTGTGAGTTATACGAAATTACAGCCCGTGATATAGCGTCTGAAAACATCATATCTACCGGGACTGGCTCATCTTAGACAAATCACAATTGATTATGAATAATGCAGCAAGTGTAAGTAAACTATGTCGGCGTTTTATTTTCTGTATTATCTCTGTATTACTTCTGTATTGCATCATAATCTTGCAACACAATTTACTATACACGTAATTTGCCATTTCACAGATGTATGTAAATGCATGTGGCAGCAACCCATGTAACAACCATGGATGGTGTGCTACTATTTCAAAAGACGAATACCGATGTACCTGTGATCATAAAAAGGGTTTCGCTGGAATCAACTGTGATATATATGGTATGTGTTATTTCCTGAACGCTTGTATGAATAAATTGAGAAATCTACACTCCCGTGGTAGATAATTTGCCCTTCCCTAATTTATTTATTAAATAAATAATTAAATAGATAACCATAAATAAATTGATTGCTTTGAGATAAACATT